CTCAAGAAGTGGAGGTTAGGACATGGAAACATGGGCCCTGGGAACATGGAGCCTGAGATTCTGGAATCCTGTTTCTTGGAGAGTAAGAGGCTGGTGCCAAGCTGTCACTGAATCTGGCTTCCATAGAGACACTTTTGTGCTGGACACTCAGCCTTCTTTCCTCAGACTGTTGGGGCCATAGCCACATCCTCCTGGTGCTGTATATGATCTCCATCACACTGCTGGCTCTTCTGTTAGTGGCTATCCTTTACAAAGGTCGGGAAGGACAGACAGTAGTTTAGGGTTCGGTACTCTAACCTTTCACTGGGGGAGAGTGGTGTGGCCATAATTCAGGGTTGGGTCTGTCAATGGCTTCTAGGGTCTTTTCAAGGTCCCTTCTACACTGCTGCTGGGGTGGGATGATGAGCAGGGGAGGGTCATGACTCCACTTGCCCTTATGGTTCAGACTTAACCATGTGTCAGACTTCCTCATCTTCAAATTTTATTATACAAGACACTGATTTTCAGAAACTACTACATAACAGGATACATAATGTGTACTAATTGCAGTTTTTTTATACAAACCAAAACATCCCCAACTCCCAGGAAAGGATCAGAAACTGACTGAGCTGAAGGTTGGTGTAAGTGAGTGACTGGAAACTGTCTGCAATGTTGGGTCATTATCCTTGATCCGTCACCCTTCTCTGGGTGTCAGTTTCTTTATCTGTTAAATGGATAAAACCTAATATGTACTTTGAGGCCACTGGGGGTGGTTCATACCATTCCCATTCAATTAAACCAGTCTCTTGGCCATCATTCTGAGCTCTCTAGACCCTACTTCTCCCATTCTGGAAGATGGAGCCAGGATTACAAAGTACTCCTGGGTTAGAAAAGGGACTCATGAGATGTAGAGGGGAGCGGTTCCACAATGTGTTGTGTCTAGAGAGAGCCCTGAAAGTGGAGGGATCCAAGGCTGGGTAGACACAAGATCATGGACATTCAAGTATTGGTTCAGCTTGATCTGCCTCTCTCAACAGAACACTTGTGCTGCCCATGCCCATGGAATTGGTTGTTCTTTGAAGGAGATTGTTACTTCTCCAAATCTAAAAAGAGCTGGACCAATTCTGTCGCTGCCTTTCAGGAAATGGAGACCCAACTAGTAGTCATCAAAAGTGATGAGGAGCAGGTATTTGTGGTTGGGGGCCCTATGCTAGTCTGGGATGTGTATCTGACCACTGGGAATTTGGGAGGAGATGGATGCTTAGGGAGGATTTTTCTGGATGAGGTGCTGTTTGGTCAAGTGGGAAATCAGGGGGAAGAAAGGTAGCAATGAGGAGCACTAAGCACAGGTCTGAACATGGTGGATGCTTTGGGGAACACCTAATATATAGGTGATACCTTTTGGTGCTCTGGCTAATGCTCATGAACTTCTTCTATTGGAATAAAAAAATCTTGCTGTGTCCCTTTGACCAATTACTGTGGTATAAATTTTGCCACCCTCACTGATTGCCACCTACCAATGGGGCGTCAGGCAAAAACAGAGCTGAAACTGGTGTGAGAAGACAAAGTCCTCCTGAGCCCAGGTAGGTGCTCATGACCTAGCACACTAGACGACTGATCAAACTGCAAGCAGAACTTCCTGCCAAGAGTTTGGGGAGACGCTGTATGTAAAACAAGGGGTAGGGACTCCTCCTGACTCCTTTTCCCTCCAGAATTTCCTCCAGCACACTTCTAAGAAGGAAGGCTACACCTGGATGGGACTCTCAGATTGGAAAGTCAAAGGCAAGTGGCAGTGGGTGGATGGGTCATCTCTGTCAGAAAGATAGATTTGGGAGAATGGAATATTTTAAAGAGAAGGGTGGGGCTCTAAGACTCTAGCTTGAGGAGTAGTGTGATTCCTCCACACCGCTGTCACGGCCCTATGCATAATAATGTGAAAATCACTCAGTGGGGGAAGGAGGTCTTCAAACCCATGTGCTGATAGGACAGCAGGTGCCTAAAATCCCACCATCAGGGCTGCAAGAGCAACTTGAAGAGAGAGTGGGGAGTTTAAATACGGTGTGTTAATAGAATATCTGTTGGGTAGTGAGACCAATAGGTCACAGGGCTATTGTAATTGATAATACAGCCTGTTATAATCAGAGATCTCAAGTGATACTGCACAGGTCATGCCATGCAGACATACTTGAGAAGACCACGCTCTGTCAAGATGGAGAAGGTTGAGGAGTTTTGTGCAAGAGCCTTAATTTTATAGTCTAAGTGGAGGAATGTGTTAAGAAGTGTAAGCAGGTTTAGGATTGGCAGTTTGGATTGTCACTACGTTCTGTGGTATTGATGCTGTCCCTGGTAGTCTCATATCTGGCCCTTGAGAGGTACAAGAGCCCAGTAAGGAAGGTGGTTGGGGGCATGGAATCCAGATTGGTTGGTTTTATCTGAAACCCATATCCGCAGCAGGAGGGTGTGCTGTCTCCTCTCAAGCATGGGAGACAATACGGGTAAGGGTTAGGGGCAAGTGACTCAGGTATATCATTGTTTCTAGAAGGAGGCATGTCTGCCATATGCATGCAGGGCAACTGTGAAAGCATCAGTTTTGGAAGGGTAGAAACATGGTTGAAACAGGGGGTCCAGGGCTGAGGCTCACAGTCTGAATGGCCTTTTCAGCTTCAAGAAGTATTGAAATAAAGGACAGCCCAACAACTGGCAGAATGCAGACTATGTGGAATTTAGACAATGGCTGGAAAGATAACAATTGTGAACTTAACAAACTATGGATCTATCGGCCTCCTGCTCCATGAAGTGAAATCTGCACCTCTTCACAGCACCTGCAGCATAGCCTGTCTGCTGATTGGAAGAAATAAACCCATGTTCAAGCTAGTTCCCTCTCACTCTCTGTTAGTATTGCCATCTTAACAATAGTTCTGGGACACTTCTCTGTCACATTTCTTATCCCCTATGGACATTGGACATTGCTGTCATTTCTATTTTGTTCCCTTTGGGATTGTGGCTGTGGTTTGGACCACTATTTGAAGTTTTTTTCTTTCTTTTCTTTTTAACTGGACTAATGTCTGGGATTGTTGCCAGTCAAAAGCCACTATTCAAGAGGCAATAGTTGACAGGATGGAACCGGTTTTATTCATAGACTGGTTCTCACAAGACGGAGGGTGCTGTCATTCTCAAACCTATACCTTGGGGAACTCAGGGACACAGTGGACTTTTATACACAGGAAAAGAGGTAAGGTGTGACAATGGGCAGCAAGACTGCATGCTGCATGGGTTTCTCATCCAGGGCATGTGTCTCCTTTTCTTCTCTCTCTGCAATATTACAATAGAACTTGGTCTCCTGGGGTCATTACGGCAGTTTTCTTTAAACAAACATATTCTTTTTCTGCAAGTGACACCTGAGAGTAATTTACAAGCTCTGTGTTAGTTGATGTATAGATATAAAGACCAACGAGGGTCATTACTAGGTCACCAGATGTTCTGAGTCCTGTAAATCTAAAGAAAGATTAGCAGTTAACAATTTAACCATTTGCATGGTGCTTTTCTTTTGAATTTATAAGCTGGGGAAATTTGAGGGGACCTCATGCTTAACAAGGGACAAGTGAGGGGAACCACTTGTTGAAGGACAAAGGAAGGGAAAAGTGAAAGTATCTCTTCCAAGGACAGTTTAATGCAGTGAGCAGTGAAGGTAACTCCAAGGGTGGGATGCTCCATTAGTTTCCTCTTTCTTGTTACTGAGAGCAGAAGATTTGTATTTCTGTGCTGCTGCCTTGTCCCCTGAGCTCCATTCCTCCCAGCATGCCTGCCTTCCATCTGCTCATCCTCACCTCCCCTGCACCTCTTTTCCTGTGTACTTTCCCTGGTGCAATTGCTCATCCTGCTTGCTAGAAGCACCAGGGAATTATTTTCCAGTTTTAAGAAGAGACAAAACACAGACACCATACAGCACATCAGTCTTATACTTGCAACTCCAGTTTCCTTTATGAAAACCCCTCTGATGATACTGTTCAGGTCAAATATAGAACTCGGACAGCTCACAAAAGATTTTCCTGTATCCCCTCCTAGTCAATCCCCACTCACTGCTTTGAAGTATTCACAATTACTGAATTCACATTGCCTGTTCTTGAAATGTACATAAATAGAATCTCATCATCTGTAAACTTATGACTGAATGTTTTCACTCTTTGGGAGATTTATGCATGTTGTTGCTCAGATTAGTAGATTGCTTTTTCATTAGTAGAGTGTGGTATAATATTCTACTTTGTAAATGCATTCCATTGTTTTGATTCACCTACTGGCAGACACTTAGATGTTACCAATTTGACAATTAAATAAAGTGCCTGGGAGATGTTTGTTTCCTCCTTGAGGGTATTTGTTTCCCCTTGATTCATGTGTACACAGGCTCTGTAGGTTAGAATTGTACTAACAAGCTGTGTGACTATGGTCCAGTAACCTAATCTTGCTGTGCCTCAGTTTCTCACAAGTGAAAAAAAAGAATAGCAGATCTTCATCTACTGTGTGAGGAGATAATGCTAATGAGTGTACAAAGCAGCATGAAAAGTGCCCAATGGTAGCAGACATTAAATAAATAGAAGCAATGATGATTTAGTATGACACCAAAGCCAGCAGAAATCACCAAGAGTGAGGGCATCAGCAACCCAAGGCAGCGAAGCCTGAGGTCAGACTGTTACCATTGCTAGACCACACCCAGGATAAGCAGAAAATAACAAAATGGTTTATTTGATAACTTACTGTATTTGTTCAAAGCCCCCTGCAGCCTCGCCATACCATGAGTAGAGCAGTTGGTTCTGCTATGAACCCCAAACTTCCCAACCCTCCCTGAAATTCCTAGAATGACAGGGCATGGCATGTCACATGCCCAGCCCTCTCTCTTGCTTCATTCAGTGCTGCTACCCACTTCCTGTCTCTCTTCCTGAGTGAGAGTACATTAAGGGGAACAGGATGTGACAAACAAAACTGTGGTCCCCAGCAGTCCTGGGCACTGAGGGACAACGGTAACCATGATGGGCTACAATGAAGTGAGGGCACGACAGCTGGGTGAGGCTGGGCTGGGACACTGGGAGTGCAGTGAGTACCACCCTAGTCACAGATCTCCCAGATCTGAATGATGCTCTCTCCAGACACAGGAACAGCCAATAAACAGGGGCACCAGATATTCCTTTAAAAGTCCTGGATTCGGACAAATTTCTGGATTCAATAGCTTTGTATAAAGATAAGGGTCAGAAGCTGGGGAAGAGTGGAATTTTCTGCAGGATACTTGGATCCCAGGGAGGTAAAGGTTGGGTCACTGGATACTTGGGCCCAGGGGAGATTGAGTTTGGGACACTGTACACTGGGCTCATTGGGAGGTAGAGTTTGGGATTCTGTACTCCTGGGTCCTCAGAGATGAAAGCTGAGACCTGGAGGCTGGGACTTGGCCTCTTGGGTCCTGGTGGTGAAGGCTTAGACCTAAAGATTGAACCTGAACTCCCGGGCACTGCAAAGAGAAAAGTGGGAATTGAGTCTTGTGCTCTTAGGAGGAAGACACTCGTATTCAGGCTGTCAGGACCAAGGTAAGGCAGGAGCACTGTCTCACTGGAACCCCACCTTCTCTACCACAGGGATTCTGGGCTACGCCCACACTCTCCTGGTGCTGCAGCTGCTCTCCATCACACTCTTGGCTGGGGTTCTGCTGGCCATCCTTGCCCAAGGTCAGAGAAGCCAAAAGGGTTGGTATTCTTGGTCTGGTCCATCAGATAGGCAGCCAGGTCAAGGAGGAAAGGTGGGGCTGAAGCTAGTATTGTTCTTTTAATGGTTTCTGGGGTCTTCCTGTGGCTTCTCCCACCTCTGCTGTAGGGGAAGGGAAGATCCTGGCTGTACTTGATCTGTGGTTCAGTCATCTCTGTATGTCAGATTTTGTCTTCTCTAAATGAGGTTAAAAGAACCTACGGCTGTTAGAAATATTTTTCCCAGGAGTATAGTACAGGATATGGAATTGACAGGTTTTTAATAATTTACTTTCTATTTTTCTTGTTTCAGGTTCCAAGGACCCCAGCTCTCCAGGGATGGAGAACATCTACCAGGAACTGAGCCAGCTGAAGGCTGAAGTGGGTGAGTGTCCAGATGGGTTCCAAGCATCAAAGAGATCAAAGAGAAATCAAAGAGAATTTCCATGTGAAGTCACTATGTGTAATTCCCTCATCCCTTTTTGGACCTCAGTTTCCTTATGTGTGAGATGGGAATAGAGGGTATCAGCCAGGATGTCACTTGCTTTTTATTCACAGGGTGTCATGCATACACTAGTCACTCGGTTAGTCCTGTTCTCTGGCCTCTGTTCAGATCACTAATGCCCTTACTCTTGCAGTCTGGAAGAAATGTGACCAGGAGCCTTGAGTTCTCCTGTGGTGGAAAAGGACTCAGGAAGTAGAGAGAGGAGTAGATCCTTCAAGGGTCCCCTGGGTCAAGAAAGGACTCTGACTGTGGAGGGCTTGAAGGCTGGACAGTCACAGGAACATAGACATCCAAGTATGGGTCCAGCCTGACCCGACTCCCCCAACAGACCTCCTGTGCCACCGCTGCCCCTGGGACTGGTCCTTCTTCCAAGGAAATTGTTACTTCTTCTCCAAGATCCAAAATGACTGGAATAACTCTGTCCTTGCCTGTCAGGAAGCAGGAGCCCGACTAGTGGCTATCAAAAGTGATGAGGAGAAGGTAAGCCTGGTAGGGGCCCTGTCCTGGTTTGGGTCAGGTGTCTGATCATTGGCCAAAGGGGAGGAGAAAGTTGTTCAACAGCATGTCTGGACTGGAGTTCCTTATAACACATGGAAAGGGAGGAGAAGTGTATGAATGTGGGAATGCCAGGTACCATTCAAGGAGACACACACAAGTACTTAACATAAGTGATTGGTTTGTGGAGCACATAAAATATAAGTAATCCCCAGAGGTATGCTGGTCAGTATGTCAAAATATGCTTTATTGTGTAAAGTGTCTCGAGTGGACATTTTCTCACTTCCATAGTGTGAAAACTGCCATCATGTCTGAAGTCATGCTCCTTATGGGAGGTCACTCAATGCAGAGCTGAAAAGAGGTGATGTGCATGATGGGCCACTGTTAACTGCTGTGATCTGGTCCAGTATATTAGACCAGGGCATGAGTATATTTGTGTGGACATGCTCAGGTCACGTTCTACAGATAAACATGACATATTGCTGTGTATGATAGAGCCCAGCTGTGTACATTCTGTGTGCAAATAGAATACAGATGTGGGAGGGACTCAGACCTCCTGAGCTCAGGTTGGCCTTGTATGGAAGAAAGTTGAAAACCAGAGGAGACACTAGCCAAAAGCAAGGTGAGGAGCTTCCTTCTGACTCCTCTTATTTCCTTTCAGACCTTCCTGCAAGTGATGTTTAAGACGACAAAAGCAGCCTGGATTGGTCTCTCAGACCTGACAAATGAAGGCAGGTGGCACTGGCTGGATGGCTCACCTCTGTCACAAAGGTAACCCTGGGTGAAGAGTACTTCCTATAGAGTGGGAGTGGGGTCCTGAGGGTCTCACTTGATCTGTCTTTGGGGTTTCTACCCCATTACACATACCCTAGCCACAAGAGTCAATGATACTTACTGAATAGAGGATGGAAGTGTTCATACACATTGAAAATAGGATGATAGATGACTTTAATTTCACCAGAATAGTTACAGGTGTCTCTAGGAACCTGGGTGTGCAATTTCAAATATAGTACGTTTATACAAAATATGAGACATAGTAAGGTCAGCAGGAAGGGGACTTTTTTTTCTTTTATTATTCATATGTGCATACAAGGCTTGGGTCATTTATCCCCCCTGCCCCCACCCCCTCCCTTACCACCCACTCCGCCCCCTCACTCTCCCCCCCACCCCCTCAATACCCAGCAGAAACTATTTTGCCCTTATTTCTAATTTTGTTGTAGAGAGAGTATAAGCAATAATAGGAAGGAACAAGGGTTTTTGCTGGTTGAGATAAGGATAGCTATACAGGGCATTGACTCACATTGATTTCCTGTGCGTGGGTGTTACCTTCTAGGTTAATTCTTTTTGATCTAACCTTTTCTCTAGTTCCGGTACCCTTCTCCTATTGGCCTCAGTTGCTTTTAAGGTATCTGCTTTAGTTTCTCTGCGTTAAGGGCAACAAATGCTAGCTAATTTTTTAGGTGTCTTACCTATCCTCACCCCTCCCTTGTGTGCTCTCACTTTTATCATGTGCTCAAAGTCCAATCCCATTGTTGTGTTTGCCCTTGATCTAATGTCCACATATGAGGGAGAACATACAATTTTTGGTCTTTTGGGCCAGGCTAACCTCACTCAGAATGATGTTCTCCAATTCCATCCATTTACCAGCAAGTGAT